ATATACATCAATTTGATTGAAAAAAAATATTTTTTTGATATTTGTTTTTTTTGGAACTAGAACTGAGATTAGTATTGTTACAATACTTTCTTCCGTCACTTTTTTTGTTATTTATTTGATTTCTTCCAATTTTATTTGTGTTTGTAAAAGTATTCCTCAATTTTTTCGTAAAATATTTATGCAATCCCCTTCTTTTATTCAGCATTCTGTTATAAGAAATTATTATTTCTTTGAAAACAAAAAAATTAAATTATTTTGTAATAAAGCAGGAAAATAATTGATGATTTATCCATCTTCAAATATAGGAGTAAGTAAAAAAAAAAATGATTCCCCTTGATTAACACTCACCATAGCGTGAAGATAGGAGATAAATTTTAGGGGAGAAGATGAGAAAAAAAGAATGAATAAAAGAAGGAAGAAATAGAAAAAAAGAGACAATGATATGAAATAAAAGAATCTAATAATTATTTATTCTTTAAGGCTTGACGGATATAGGGTTCCATCACACATGCATTTTGTAGCTATATAAAAAGAGAAAAATAATATAATAAAATTTATAAATATTTTAAAATGTGTCATAAATCATTCTGAAATGTTAATAAGGGTAAAAATTGAAAGTAAAAAATAGAACTTACTTTTATGGATGATGAAGGTGTTGCCTTTTATTTGATGATCATGTTGTCTGTTTGATTAAATTAAAGATAAAAAATTTAAGAGTATAAGATATACCTTGTAAACTACAATGTGTCTGATTGTTTCCAATATCTAGATCAACCTTAAATTTGAAAATAGAAATAATAATGATGGTTATATTCTGCTATGGTATACTCTAAAAAATTTTTTAAAATTATATTAATAATTTGGAAATATATAGATAAAAAAATATATATAACTCATAAGAGTGGCCAAATGGCAAGCACCGTGGCAAATACTTACATATTAAGTCTTTTATCATATAAATATTAATTGTAAATGGAAAGAAACGGGAAGGCAGACGTTTGAGAAAACTGTAATGATTTGATGAAGGATAGTGATAGAAAAATTTGAATTTAATATGTAAACATTATATAATTCTCATGATAGAAAAAATAAATAATCTTAAACAAATATTATTAAAACTAGAATAACGGAAGATAAATAGAGAAAATTTTTTATAAATTGTTAATGTAATTTAACATTATTCTAATTCAGTTTCAATTTTAATTTTATAATATACTCTAAAATATAAAATAGTGTGTAAGTTATATACTGATTATTTTGATAATAACCTATAGATTGATGAATACTTCAAAATAGAAATAATATATTTAGAATAAAAAATATACATTCTCACCAATCTAAACAATATCTAATGTGCTTGGAATTTTTTTAATAAATAATATTTATATGGTGAAAAGTTGTTTGCATTTTATTCAAAAGAGATATTAAATTGCTTTAAATTAACCTAAAAAACATTGGTTAAAATATAACAATAATGGGAAATTTAAATTGTTTATTTTTTCTGCTAAATTATTACTAGATAACAATGTATTTTTTCTAACACAAGCCCAACCCATCAAACTTTAACCTGAATTGGACTCTCTCCAGATTTACTTCGAGATTACAACTATTACATTTTACAATATATATTATTAATTAATCATGATTCCTATTAATATATAAATAACTATTTCCTCTTTTTGAACATGCATTATATATTATATTAATTATTTTAGTTATTAAATCAAAATAATGGTTCTGAAGTTCTAAATTATTTGTATTTCATACTTATGAATAAAATTTTTAAAGGTTGCGAAATTAAAACGTTCCTCAGTGGTATCCTTGAAGAAAGAGCTATAAATGGCAATGTTTTATTCTTCGATTGTGGTAATAACAAAAAAAAATAATTATTGAATTTATTGAAAAATATGATTTTCTTTTAAATGTCATACGATTGAAATGTGGATGCCAAGATTTGAACAAACTAAATAGTTGCCCGTATATGACGGAACACCGTAAGGACACATCCGTTCATGGTATAATAAACAGGGCAAACCATCCCTTCTAAGATATAGCGTCTTTAGGAAAAGTCCCGTCTTTCGAAAGAAAGGCGGAATAATTTTTTTTTATAATTTAAAATTATTATATAAAAACAATTTTAATTTTTAAAAATTATGCAAAAAAATTTCTTAAAAAGGCTATCAGGTTATGACAATACTTTAGAGCGAATTCATTTTGGCAAATTTTTATCGTGAATATTACTTAGCAAAAAAAAAGTGAAGCCAATACTATTTTAATGTAATTGCTTTAATTCGTGGAACATTATTGCGAAATAATGAATACATTGCGAATGAATGCGCTTATTAATTCAAAAACAATATCAATCAAACATGAATTCATAAGGTATAATGCAGAATGATTTATATTTTGCCTTGTGCTTGTGTTATATAAATTCAAACATTTCAGTCTGAACAGTTCCGAATTGATCTTTACTAATTCCAAATTATATTTGTTTTTAAATTGTTCAATTGGAATATGATAAGCTTAATTGCTAATCAAAAAAAATTTGGTTAAATTTAAAGAAAAGAAGGTATTTAATGCTCCTTTTTAATTTTTTTAAAAAAATATCATTTAGAACATGTAGTTGGATCCATGAATAAGGATTATATTTCCTTCAAAAATTGCAATGGAACACTAAATCTTTATTCTCAGATGGATGATGGATTTAGTAATATATTTAAACGCTTTATCATAAAACATCAGGAATTTCCTAAATGTGTTAATTTATTAAGACGTTCATTGTATAGTTGAATTTTCATTATTATAAAAACATAAATATCATATTTTTTAAAGAAAATATAATTTTTTTAGTCAATATAACTTCTCCAAGATTGTTCAAATAGATAAAAAGTGTTAATTGCAAATTAGATAATTCAAAATCCTCAAAAGTAACTTTTTAATTTGGGTAGAAACACTTGGACAAAATTTCTATTTTTTTTAAATCTCGTTACATACAAAGTCCCATAATTTTGTCATTTCCCTTTTACATAAAACAAGGTTATAAATTGCATAAATGATTATATCAAAATATTTTAATTATTCTAATTTTAGTGTGTATATTTTAATTTGATCTAATATTGAGATAGTTTTTAAAAATTCAGCTATTTTAAAACATAAATGAACTATGTGTATCTTGTACAAAGACAATTTAAAAGTTTTTAATCATAGAAATTTTAAATTTAGACGAAACATTTTATTTTATTTTTTTTTAAATGGGTTCCTTAAGACTCTAAATAAATAAAAAATATTTCATATAGAATATGTACTAACTCTAGTCCCTATCAGGTCTTTCTGCCATATATCTAAATCATATGGATATTTTTGAATTACGATCTATGCCCATTTCAGATAGACTTCTCTAACGCCATATAGGCTTAAAAATCTTAGAAAAACATTACATTGATGGTTTATAATTTAATTTATTTTACATTGATTAAATAATAATAAACTCATGGTTTATCATAATTTTAACTGGTTAACCGCCTCGACCACGTTTCTAAAAATTTTTCGCCTCTAATCAGAATATTTTATAAACTCAGATAAAATATATTACACTGTCTTAATTTTTCACGGCATAATATCTCGGAATTATGTTATGACAAATCACATATTAAACCCCCCCCCCTCCCCAGTCGCACCTTATCACTAAAGCATTCAGGAAATTACTGATATGTTCCATTTTTAGCATATCTTCCATTCTTTAAATATCTCCGTAACAAAACACGAAATCTATGAATTGTACCCCATACTTTTTGCACTGCCATATATATAAATATACCTATTCCAGTCTCCATCATCTATATTAATTCATTAATAACATTTCCAGTTGTTAAACTCCTATTTAAACATTGTAGTGAATATGGGGAGCACACTGATGTGCATAACATATATATAATTTAGTACCCTTTAATATGTCATTTGCTTAAAAAATTTGTTACCATATTTTTATTAAACCCAGGTGGGAATTTATCTCCATATCATCAATACTTTTTTTCTCGTCAAAATAAATGATCTCCTTTATTTTTTCTATATCTTCTCTTGAACACTTTATCTACTAATATATAATTTACTCAATTTTTTTTTTGGCATTATATCAATCTATATGTTCCTATGCTAAAATTACTTTAAACGTACTTAAAATAAATAAAAAATTGTAATTTAATTCATCTTAATTTTATTATGGCTCGCTGTTTTACCAAACGCCAAAAATGGATATTTTTTTTGATTCTAAAGACAAGCCGAGTTACTATATATAAAAGATATAATCAAAAGTCATGATTTTCAAAAGAATCTAGATACTGTTTTTTTATTATAAATTAAATTACAAAATGTAAAATCCACTGAATTAAAAATTAATAAGTAAAAAAAAATTAAATATTATAAAGCAGATCAGATATTTAAAAGCTATACTTTCAGAAATAGTTTTTTCAAAAGCTTGGAAGCATGACATTCTAGTTTTTATTTTATTTCGCTAAAGCAAAAAACTTGATAAGAATCTATCAATTTTAAAAAAATATATATATAATTAGCTAAAATGTAGATTTGCCATTGCCAACAATATAGGTCGTTATTGTAATACTAAGCTCTTTTAATTTTTACGAAAACGCACCCAAATAAGATTTTTATCCACATTTCCTTTAAAAATTTAATTCCAAAACAGTTGACATTTTTATTTTGCTAAAATATATTAAGAGTTAGTTTGTTAAATAATTATTAAATTCTAAATATCGTGAAATGTATTATGCTATATTCTTTGGCTTAAATAGGCGCAACATTACCATAAAAATGCAAAATTAAGTTATTTCTTTTTATTACTATCCAAAAAATATAATATTTATTTACGATATGATATTAAGTGACAAAAATTTAAATACATTTTTTTAAATAAATTTCAAATCCCCCCTTAAAAAATATATGTATATATAAAGTTTATGTTATAATGTAATCCTGGTTTATTCCCATCTTTTCAGTTTTAAGAAACTGCATCATATATATAAATAATATTAAAATAAAGATTTTCTGTAATTAAAAATCTTCCCTTTTTAAAGCATGATAATTAAAATTTTGATAAAATGTAGAATTTGTTATTCTTTTTCGCTAAGGAAATAATTTTCTAATAGTTACGCCAATGTAGCATAGTATAACGTTGATCGTTGCCTATACGCTAAATTTATAAATAAAAAAATATAATAATAATTTAAATGTTAGAAGATAAATGGTAAAAAAAATACTTAATTACCTGTCCTTTTATAATTGTGTTAGTTCCTTTGTTGTTAAGTCTATACTTTTTATACGTAGCAGTGGAATTTAAAAGTACGATCAAAGGGTTGACAAAACCTTCAAAAAATATTTAGAAAATTTACTATTTATTACTCTTTGTTTTTTTAATTTTTTTAAATATTCTGACCATTACTTCTGATAAGTAACTAGAATTTATTTATGATTTTAGTCAAAGTCAACGAAACGAGTTTAAATTATACAAGATATAATTTTTTAAAATATATTTTCTTTTAAATATGGAAATTAATATCAGTTAAACAGCTAGTAAGAGAGATGATAACATATTTAAACGCGAAATTCCTATACAAATTTTTGCAAATTATATTATACAAAAGTTACTTTTTGACGTGTGTTAAAACTTCAATTAAAACTATTCTCCATTTTAACATAAAATTTTTATATTTAAGCAATCTTGAATATGTTATATTGACATAAAAAAGTTATATTTTCTTTAAAAATGGATATTTATGTTATTATAATTATGGAAATATAACTACCCAATAAACGAATTTTATGATATAGAGTTTAAAAATATTACTAAATCCATCATTCATCGCATGATAAAGAAATAGTGTTCCATTGCAACTTTTAAAGGTAATGCAATCCTTATGCATGGATCCAGCATCATGTACTAAATATATATTTATTTATTTTAAATTAAAAAGAGCAATAAATTGGCCAAATTTTTTTTCTATTGCAATTAAGCTACCCATATTCCACTGGAATAATTTTTAAAAATTTATAATTTGGAATTAGTATAGATCAAGTCGGAACTGCAAATATAATATAATACTAGCACAAAGTTACAAAATATAAGATATTCCCCATTATGTCTTAAGAATTTATGCTTGATTGTTATTTAATATGTTGTATTTGTATTAACAGGTTTGGAATATATTTATTATTTCGAAATATCGTTCCACAATACATTAATATAGTATTCAGTTCACATTTTTTTGCTAAGTAATATTCACGAAAAAAATTTGCCATAATGTATTAGCTCTAAAGTAGCCAATTCTATCCCTTTCGAAGACGGGACATATCCTAAAAACGCTATATCTTAAAAGGAAGGGTCTGCCCAGTTTATAATATTATGAAAGGATGCTTTCTTTACTGTGTTGCGTCACATACGAGCAAGTAACTATTTAGTTTGTTCAAATCTTAGTATCCACATTTCAATCGTAAAATATTTAAAATATAATCATATTTTTTTAAATAAATTCAATATATATCATTTGTTATTACTAGAAATTAAGAATAGATCATTGCCATTTATCTCTTTTTTTTCAAGGCTACCATTGAACATCGTGTTGATTTCGCAACCTTAAATTTTTATTCATATATATCAAATAAATAATTAAGAAAGTACAGAATTATTATTATGATTTAATAACTATCAAATAGTTTTAAAAAAAAACTGATTAAATTTTTAAAAAATATTACTATAATAATATAATATATGTTTAAAAAGAGGAAATAGTGTTAATAAAATAAATAAAAATTAAAAAACATGATTAATAAATCTTATAAATTGTAAAAAGTAATAGTTGTGATCTTGAAGTAAGTCTGGAGAGAATCTATTTCATATTAAAGTATGATGGGTCACTTGTGTTAGAGAAAATAAACTGTAACCTGGTAATAACTTAGAGGAAAAAATAAACAATTTTCTAATTATTATTTTTATTTTAACCAAATACAGTAAATCTTATATAAATTTTTTATATATCATATAAATCAAACTCACAACATCATCATCCATTTAAAGGCAACATTTTCAACATCCGTAACAGTAGATTTTTTTTTTACTTTCAATTTTTAACCTTATTGTCAATTCAATGATATATTTTTAATATATCGATAAATTTTATTATGTTATTTTACTCTTTCTATATAGCTACAAAATGCAAGTGTGTTGAAACCCTATATCCGTCAAGTCTTAAAGAATAAATAATTATTAGATTCTTATATTTCATATCATTGTCTCTTTTTTTTATATTTCTTCCTTCTTTTTTTTTCTTTTATCTGCTCCCCTAAAATTTATCTCCTATCTTCACGCTATGGTGAGTGTAAATTATGGGGAATCATTTTTTATTTACTTACTCCTATATGGATAAATCATAAATTATTTTCCTGCTTTATTACATAATAATTTAAATTTTTTGTTTTCAAAGAAATAATAATTCCTTATACAGAATGCTGAATAAGAATGGGATTGCATAAATATTTTACGAAAAAATTGAGGAATACTTTTACAAAACACAATAAAAATTGGAAGAAATCAAATAAATAACAAAAAAAGAGACGGAAGAAAGTATTGTAACAATACTAATCTCAGTTCTAGTTCCAAAAAAAACAAATATCAAAAAAAATAAATAATCTATTTTAATATCAATAAAAATTTTATTTTTTAATAAAATTGATGTATATACCTCGCACAACATTGTAGTTGATTAGGATTAACAAGCACCAAATAGAGTAAATCATAATCGATTTCCTAAAATATTTTAAAATTTTTCTTTCTTTCAAATATATTTTATGTATGGTAAGTATTATAGCCTAACACACATATATATATATATAGTGTAACGAATTTTTAATTATTTAAAAGAAGATATCATTTTTATTGTTGTTAGTGTTACTATCTAATTTATCAGTATAATAACCTCTTTTTTTTTAATTTTATGTTTTAAAAATTGAATAAAGAAATATTATTATCGTTTATTTTATGCGGTATAAAAATATTATAAGTAATATTTTATGTAATTACTTATACCTTAATTATAGTTTAAAGTATAAAGAACCTATTATTTTTTGCTTACCTTAACTACTATATTCGTTATTACTATTGATTGTGAACCTTTTTATCAATATAATTACTACTTTTTTTTATCAGTTCAAAAATATATTTTGAAATATTAACCAAGCAGGCTTTATTTAATTAATAATTATGTACTATTACTCCTCTTTATAAAATTTAAACAATATTATCGTTTATTTTATAGTAGAAATAAGTGATTTCTATATTGATATCAAAATATATTCGTAATATTTTATGTAATTAATGTATCTTAAGTATAGTTTAAAGTGTAAAGAATTATTATAATGATTTAATGAACCTTTATATCACTATAATAAACTTTTTTTTTTAAATCTGTTTAAAAATATATTTTGAACTATTTACCAAGTAGTCTTTATTTAATTAATAATTATGTACTCCTTTTTTTTAAATTAAAATAAATATTATCCTTTATTTTATAATAGATATTGTTGTAATATGATGGATGAACCTTTTTTTTAAATCTGAATATCTTACTTATCTTATTTTTTTTCATTTTACTGGCATTCCCTCTCGACAACTACTAAAACAAATCAACTCTGAATCATATTTCGCATCAAATTCCACCAATGCTTGCTAGATGTTTTTAATTACTTTATTTAGCAGTCTATCTTTCATTGTCTCTATTTGAAGTTCAACTTCATGATTTATTTGGAGTAAAATTTATAGATCTAATTTTTATTGCCTGTTAATTTAGGAAATGGAGAGGCTACATGTAGATTTGGTAAAAATCTCTCATGATATTTAAAGAGTCCTAAAAAGATCTAAAAAGATTACAATTGGTGTATATTCATATGGGTTGGTATTTCTACGCTGGCTGAATATTATTTACATCTATTAAGAATCCAGAGAATAAATTTTATTCTAAAAGAATTTTTGCCAATTTTGCCTTCAATCCAGCATGTTTTAATTTTATTAATATTTTATATACATTGTTCAAATGTTCCAAATAATTTTTTTACCCCGTTATGAAATAACATCCATGTATTACTCTATTTTGCAGTCCTTCAATAAATTATCCATATATCGTTGGAATATAGTCGGGCACTAGATAGGCCAAAGTTACATTGAAATCTAAAATAACTAATATGGGTTGTATAGTTATATGTATTCCTTTAGGCTCTCTTTTATTGATAGTTGCGGAATAACATCTTATAAATCTTCAAACCACTTGCAATTTGGTTAATAGATCATCCACAGTTGGTATTGTGTGGTAATCATCTAAAGTGTATAGGATCAATGCAACCTTAAAATCAGCACATATCTTGATTTCTCAATTTGCGCAAGTTTACTGTTCAGGTAACTTACGTCATTCTCGTTTTTGTTGGGTATATTTTCAAAATTTCTGAATTTCATAAGTCATTTCAAATGATTTTCTTTAGGGATAAAGTAATCTAGGTGATGAATACGAATTAGACCTTGCGGCATCACTAAGATGTATGCTAACATCATAATCTTATGAAATAGTCTGGCTAATCAGCAAAAACACTGACAAATTCTGTAGTCATGGCAGAAATTTGTTAACCATTCGTTATGATATCATTACTTGTTGTACTCCATATTCTAACTTGTCGTGAGATAAACATATTATATAAGAGTATTTGTGGTAGTCCAAAGGGTATGGCAATTGACCGGGTAATAACAAATGGTAATCATCGACCTATATTTTCAATTGCACCTTCCTTGATGTAAAACATTGAAAGTATGAGTAAGTTCTTCCACATCATGATAATTATTCGTATAACTATCTATAATTTTCAATCATCTCTGTACTTACAATTGTTATTATTATTATAATAAATAAAATTTCCTTTTTCTTTCATATTATGTTGGTATTGATTACAGCTCTCTTCATTGTCAAAGTCATATTTAAAACTTGCTGAAGTCTTAATCTTTCTTAACCTGATTCCTTTTGGGAATTTTATGCTAATTTTTTTCTTCTATGTTATCATTTTTATTCCTACAATCATTTGATTTCTTAATCTCGAAAACAAGATATGATTCAACTTTAGACTCTTGGGGCCAATCTTTTAACCTGCCCTGAAAACTTAGCAACTGTTTCGCATTCTTTTATTCCTATTCGAATTATAATTCAAGAACTAGAGTTGTAGTAGGTCTAAAAGCTTCCTTATCTATTTCTACTATTTCATTATTCTTTAGTTCTTCCATAAAATTCTTGGATCCATAAAAGCATTTCGGCCAAATGCTAACCATCATGGATGAAAATTATATTTTTCCTTGGTTTTCTGATGTAACAATATTCATACCCGTCGCCATTAAAATATATTTACTTTATTATTGCATATCTAATATCTATTAAGTGTTGTTAATATATCGACTTTTATAAAATATTTTTGTTATATGGCTTAACTTCGATTTATTTTTTGTTTTAATTTTTTTATTATATCCCTAAGATATATTTCGTTTTATTTTACTTTAAAATTATATTAACGCATTGATTGATATTTTAAAATTAAAAACGATTGTTTTATAAAGGGTTAATATGTAAAATAAAGATTTATTATAAAAACAAATGTTAAATATAAACCTGATTTCAAAAGATACATGTGAAATGTGTAATATCCAATAAATTATAATATTAACAAAATAAGAATTGATAACATATCAACAATAAATAAAATAAAAGAAAATCATAATCATTTAGAGACTATAAATAGTATTTCCCCCGACATAGAAGATTCGAGTTTTAAGTCTTTACCCCGCATTTAAAAAGTTATAAGTAGTTGAAAAATAATAAGATTACTAAATGTTTTTTACATAACCCCCCAATAACGCTGCTATTGCCTCCAATAACCTCACCTCACCCCCTCCCCCGACACTCCTTATAAAATAATTTTCCATTTTTAAAAAAAAATATTGCCATCAAGTTACTGTTATGTTCCATTTTTAACATATCTTCCATTCTCTAAATCTTCGTTACCAAACACAAAATCTATGAATGGAATATATATAAATATATATACTTATTCCAGTCTGCCCTATCTATCTTTTAAATGCATCAGTGGCGTAGCTAGAAATTTTTCTTAGGGTTCCATACATATAAAAGTCTGGGGGGGGCGCCTTTAACGGGCCTTCGGACCTTTTGCCCGGCCTTCGGCCGGGTTATCTTACATAACCATATTATAATAAATATATCTTTTAAATGCATCAATAATATGTTATTATAGTTGAGTAGGTTATTCACAATGACTTTTACCCAGAATAATTTTAATAGTAATATAATATCCTTTCACAAACATCAAAACCAAAAAATATAAATATTATTTGATATAAAGTCACTTTTAAGTCTTTTGAACGTATAATCTAAAAAAGAATTTAGCTCTGGGAGGGGTCCAAACCCGAAAACCACCCCCGTAGCTACGCCACTGAAATGCATTAATAACCTACCTAGTTGTTAATTGTAATGAATATGGAGGGCACGTTTATTTGCATAACATATATATAATTTAGCCCGCAATATGTCATTTATTCTATTATAAAATTTGATTTAAAAAAATTTGTTACCCCCAAATTTTTTAAAGTCTGATAAAATTAAATGAAAATTAAATTTTGCATGAAACCTGATTTCGCTAATAAATTTTAATTTTGATTAATTACGAAAGAAGACGGAGTGAAGAATGATCAGAAAAATTATCGTTTAGTTAGGATAGCCGATATCTGTACATATTCCTTGCTATTATTTATTCAATATTTTATTTATGGTGTGATATAAAATGACAAACATTTAAATCATTTTTTTTAGAATAAATTTCAAATCCCCTTTAAAAAAATTTATAATTTGGTTAAGTATTTTATAGCACCATAATTTAAATTTGATAGAATGTAGATTTTTTTTTTCGCTAAGGAAATAATTTTCTAATAGTTACGCCAATGTATCATAATATAATTTTCATCGTTGCCTATACGCTAAAATTATTAATAAAATAATAGAAAAATAATTTAGATGATAAATGATAAATGGTAAAAAAAATAATAATACTTTATTACCCGTCCTTTTATAGTTTTGTTAGTTCTCTTGTTGTTAAGTCTATACGTTTTATTCATAGTACCTTCACCAAAAACACTGGTGTTTAAAAGTGTGATCAGAGGATTGGTAAAACCTTTAAAACAAATATAAACAATTATTATTTATTTTTCTTTGTTATTTTAATTTTTTAAATATTCTGAACAAGACTTCTGAACTTCTGATAAGTGATACTAGGATTCATTTGTAGTCAAAGTTAACAAAATGAGTTATAAATTATACAAGATAATTTTTTTAAAATATATTTTCTTTTAAATACGGAAATTATTGGTAGTAAAATAGCTAGTAGAGACGATACATATTTAAACGCGAAAATTCTCATACACTAATTTCTCCAACAATATTTTTACAAAAGTTATTCTTGACTGTTAAAATTTCAATTAAAACTATTGTCCATTTTAACATAAAATTTTCCTATTTAAGCTATCTTGAACAAGTTATATTGATTAAAAAAAAGTTATATTTTCTTTAAAAAATAGATGCTTATCTTTTTATAATTATGGAAATACTTAGTGAATGTCTTAAATATAACAATTAAGAAATTCCTGATGTTTATGATAAAGGGCTCAAAAATATTACGAAATCCATCATCCATCTCAGAATAAAGATTTAGTGTTCCATTGCAATTTTTGAAGGTGATGTAATCCTTATTCATGGAACCATTTTCATGTTCTAAATGTAATTTTTTTTAAAAAAATTAAAAAGAAATATTAAAATTTCTTCTTTTTTTTAAAATTGGCCAAATTTTTTTTTTTGATTGCAATTAATTTGCCCGTATTACACTCGAACAATTTTTAAAATAAATTATTCCGCCTTTTCGATCCCTTTAGAAAGACGCGACATGTCCTAAAGACGCTATATCTTAGAAGAAACTGTTTGCCCAGTTTATTATACCATGAACGGATGTGACTTTACGGTGTTCCGCCAAATACGGGCATTAAACTATTTAGTTTGATCAAATCTTAGCATCCACATTTTAAGCGTATGACATTTAAAATAAAATCATATTTTATTTAATAAATTCAATATATTTTTTTGTTAATACCAGAAATGAAGAGTAAGCCATTGTTATTTATCACTCTTTCTTCAAGGCTACCATTGAAGAACGTTTTGATTTCGCAACCTGTAAAAAAATTTAATTCATATATATCAAATACAAATAATTTACAACTTACAAGAACCATTATTTTTACTTCAAAAAAAATATATTATACCATCTGTTATATTATAGTTTAGCAAGAAGTCATATTATGTTCACTCATTTTTAAATATTTTTATTTTTCTTCAAATATATGGGAATTATATAGATATATATCTACAAACTTGTATAAAATAAGAAACTACATATTTATTAAATTATTATAAAAGGTTTGAATACAAATTAAGAATAAAAACACAAAATTAATTTAAAAAATGAAAAAAGATGTTATTTTCATTGTTTGTTTATTTGATTTGATATATTTTATTTGCATGAAGTTTGATAATGTTTTCTTTGGATTTATGAATATTATGAACAGCTCCTTTAGAAATATTAAATCTTTTTAGAAATTTAATTACCTGAATTTTTTTTTATTTAATTAAACGATAACTCGCTATATTAGTTTTTCTTTATTAATTTTGTTATTTGACATGGATAAGTTTAAAAAGATGATAAAATTTTATAATAATTTTTTAATATATATAAATCCTCATTTGTTTTTTAAATATATATTTTTAATTCAATAATGCATATATCCTATTTTAAAATAAAGTATCAAGTTTGTTAATATATATATAATAAATTAATGCAATAAAAAATAGATCTCCACTCATATAAGTCTTGCGCAAGTAGACAATAATTCAAAAAATCTGTTAACTTTTAAAAGGTTGGCAAATTTGTCAAGGCATTTTCTATATTAATTAATAAGAATTTGGTTGGGACTCAAATTTTGATTCACAAAGGTGTTACACAAATTATCCAGTGCTCAAAAATTTGTCATTATATATATATATTTAATACTTTTGACATGAACAATATACCATAAAATATTGTCGATACATGCACATTAAAAAATCTTTTTGACTACAATGTTGTGCGTTTGCGTTTGTAATTTAATGATCTAAAAAAATCTAACTTTGCTAGGTAAATGAGAACTCTTTCAAGCAGCAAGAGAAGTGAACTTAAGGAAAAATATTAAGGAAACATTGGAACTTAACTTAAAAAATATCATTATTTTAATAATTAAATGAATAAATATATAAAATACTTAAACAAATATCCTCAGGTCGTTTAAGATTAGAACAATAATTATAAGAGTTAAAAAATGATTAGATTAATATAGTTCAACATACCGAATCATTCTTATAGAATAAAATTATTATCTCATAAATATAGAAAAATTTTTGTCGGCCCATATTTGATTATAGGTGTTTAGTAATAACACACTTCAGATTGCTAATGAAAGCGCCGCACCTTATAGAATACCCGGTAAATAAGAAAGACTTAAAAGTTTTATTCTGTTAAAGCCCATGAAAGTTTTATTGAATAAACTTCGATAGGCTTTACTGCTCTCAAATTTATTTTATAAATGAATATTTGGTACTTCTGTTGACATTGAGATCACCTCGATACAAATGAATATGAAATAAAGTACAAAAATATAATAATTGAAGAATAATAATGTTTTAAATTGAAGGAAGAAACATACACAACTCTTTAACCCACTACTGGGAAAGGTTATGTTTCAATTTAAAGATCTAGCTCTTTCTTTTGCTAAAAACAAAACACATTATAAAGTTTTAGAAAATATATAGAAGTAATTTATAAAGTGATATTAAATACCATGCAAGTAGTTGAGTCCTATTAATAAGCACCAAATTGAATTGATCATATCTTTTATAATAAAGTGTTTCATGGTATATATATATATTTTATAAGAAGTTATAATTATATTATCAGTATCTGCTAATTATTAATTATCTAAATGAATATAGACTCAGCCTTATATAGTAACTTTTTTTAATCAATTTTATTATTAAGTCCTTGTTATTATTGACTTATATTTGCTAACTTTAATTGTTATCATAATGTTTTCATTTATAGTTAACCTATATTTTAAAAATTGAATTGAAAATTTTTCATACTAAATAGTTTAAAATTTTTGAGCCAATTTATCCTATCTTTATTTTTTTTTTAAAAAAAAAATCTTATTTTCTAATTATTTCAAACCGATTAAAAAAATTTAATATCAGCTATTTACAACATAGATAAGAAAATAATAATAAAAATGTTATTCAAAAAGATAAGATAAATGAAATTACATAATAATTAGAAAAATATCAAAAAATTATATAATTCAGAAACTAAACCTTGTAGGTATACGTAAACAAGTTTCAGAGTTGTTAAAATATACTTTTAAAATTTATCTAGACACAGCTACAGATACTATTTGAAAAGTGTTAGCTAAATATAGTAACTACTCATTTAATAAATTATAATATTCGAGTTTGATTAATGCCAGAATTTGTCTCTTTATTTTTATATTAAGGGGTGGAAAAAAAATATAAAATTTTTGTATTTTTTTTCTTCGGATTTTATAGTCATCTTTTCGAGCAAAATAACACAAAATGTATAATTCAAATACAATACTCATAAAAAAATAATTCATAAATTAGAAAAAAAATAATATCTCTCTACCCCCTTTCATGTGAATAAAAAAATATCGAGAATTTTTTGTTTTCTAATGGAATTATTTACTGCTTCAATCAGTGTTATTGTTTGTAAGATGCTGTAAAAATATTTACTAGGGACCAGCAGGTATAGCTGACCGTTTTTTAATTTTTTTTGAATATATGTAGGCCGGGCCTGAAAAAACTTATTTTAAATACCCGAATCAGGCCTAAAATTTAAAAAAAATACTTTAAAAGTATTTTAAATAACCTACTCGCTATAAAAATTAAAAAATATTAAAATAATATATTGTCTTTTTACTTCGTTTGCATCCATATTATCTTCTCCATTCCATAAAATAACCATTCATGATGGAATAAAGGATAAAAAAGAGAGAATTTACTAATAAAAAGTTTTATTCATGGTTATACAATTATACTCTTATTAAGTTACCGCAATTAACACAGTTATTAATGGTAATCTTTGTTTCGACTTAATTTAGACTACAAATATTTGATAATAAATAGTATATAATAGTGCTAAAAACATAAAATTTTGTACAATATTGGATTATAACTGATAATTATACAAGAAATAGTTTAAATATATATTTTACGTGCTATAAAAAAACATATTTGAGAAAAAAAGATGAGGTAGAAAATGTGCGTACAAAATATTGGAAAAATCATTATATAATAAAATATATCTTTTTCACATTTTTTAAAAAATAATTTTCCTATTATTAACCAAATTATTAATTTTGGTTTTAAAATCAAGGTCCTGCAATGGCATAGATCAAAAATCCTTCGATATCTACTAGTCCGATGTAATATTTTTAGAAGTCATCTCTTTATTTAAATAACGCGATATTATTGGGAATGTATTTCCATTATTTGATTAATAAAGAAAACTAATATTTTCTTCGAATCTTTTTTCATAGTCGCATGCAAGACCTATAATATTTAAAATCGAAAAAATGGGTTTTGAGGAATAAATCTGAACTCGAACCGAACCTGAACCCCGTTTAAAAAATTTAAAAAAAAACTCACCCGGGAATTTTATTCGACCCTGGGTTCAACCGGTTTAGTGTATTGTTTAAAATCGTATATTAAGATATTTTCATAATTGTAATTATAATTTAATTAAGATTTTATAATATTTTCATTTCAAGTGAAGTGTTAATAAATTTTTAACACCTTAAATTTATTTACGCCATTTTTTAAATTTTTTAAATTTATTGTCAAAGATTCCTATTTGGAGTGATAATAAATTTTTTAACAATTAAATTCATTTACGCCATTTATTTTTAATTTTTTATTTTAATTCTCAAAGATTATTAATAAAGGGAAAATAAAAAGTGAACAAGTCAATACAAAAAATTATTATAATGGATATTGTTAATTATAAAGAATTTCGTCTAAATAAAAATTTTAAAAATTGATAACATGACTGCTCTTATTTATAACTATTATATTTATCCTATAAATATAAAAAAAAAATTTAATTCTTTATACCAAATTTATGTCTAGTTTTTTTAAATTATGATTTAAATATTGAATTATCAATTCAGAAATTCTTAAACCCGAGCTGAACACGGAACCAAACCGGGTTAAAAATATTTACTTGAACTAAATCCGAACCGAACCCTCTTATAATATTTACCTTAAGAGAAACGATAACCGAACCCGGGAAATTTCGGCGGGTTCGCATCCCTTTTAAAACTATTTTTGAAGATTTTTATCCTCCTGATTTTTTATCTTTTAGGTCCATTTTGAATAAGTTAAGAGAAAAAATAAGTTTTGCAAAACGATTTTATCATGTGATTGATGAAACATCACTCCTATATTTACAGAATTATGATCACATAAATATTTCTCTATGTTTATTCATATTATTGGATAATTATTTTGTCTTGTTGAATGTTTTTTCACAAGTAATCATGATTCCTCAATGGATTTTTAGATATGAATTTATGATATCTAAATAAAAAATTTTTATTTACTCAATAAAAATATCTTTTTTCATGATAATATTAATATTACATTTGTTATCTAAAAATATTGGGAGTGAACATCAGTACTGACTAACTCGAGTTCTAGTGTTCAAATAGTGTGAGCAGATAATGAGATAGTCTCGGTGTAAAAATAAGAAATATTATAGATCTTTTTGGAAATTATTTTTATTATATCAGAAATAGCAAAGTATATTTTTGCTCTCTTGTATGGACAATAAAGAAAAATATATGAAGAACCACAATCCCCCCCAACAACATAATTGAGACATCTGACAGCCCTAATATTTACCATCTTTTCATAGAGCGGACCTATTATTATAGATAGAATGAGTTTATATTTTAACATACGGATGATCCATCAAGAATGACGGAATATAATGAATTTATCCTTCATTTGATGACGGGTAATTTATAAAAAAATTTATATTAGCAGTGAAGATAGGTTATATCCTCTTTATTTGATAATAGGTGAATCAGAAATTTACCTATTTTATGATATGTGAATCAATTTATCTTTGCTTTAGATCACAGTTTATTTTAATTGAACATATAATTGGAACACATGTGAATCAGTTGATCTGCAAATGGCAAAATTATCATGCCCGGAAATGTGTGAGAATATAGTTAATGCCCAACTTGGCCAAATATTTTCCTAGCCCGACCTAGTTTAAACTTTTTTTTACTAATGTTGCCCACCTTAGCTCGGTTTCAATATATTTTTTTTGAATACAAGGCCTAAACCAAAATTTACCAAATAAACAACTATTCATATTCTTGAGGATAAAACACTATATTTTATGGATTACATATAGGAAATATCAGAATTTATCCAATATATATATAATTTGGTAGAATTATTTGCCGGCGGAAAAATAATTATCCATCGATTAGGCCTATAGCAGACCACTGATGTGAATATACTTTTTTCATATATTGATTACATTAAATCTAATATATCTTTCTATTCGCAATATAAAATAATTTTTAAATGCATTATTATAATTTGTATTTGTAATTTGACTTAATAATTTAATCTTGCTAAATAAGGGTAGGGGAGACTGGGGTTAGGTAAACCCCGCGGCTTGGAAAACCACTTAATCTCATTTTATAATTAAATATACTAGAAGGTTTATCCTAATATAGTTTTCATTAGTATACATCTATGGTATTTAAAAAAAATTAATTTCTAAAAATTTTATTTAAGAAATAAAATTTTGATGAAATTTTTAAAAGATTTTTACACGACAGAATTTTAAATTTTATTAAAATATATGATCATTTATATGAATTTAATTGCAAAGTTTAAACATTCGTCAATTTAGAGCTAGCGGGGTTTGCTAAACCATACACGTCAATTATAACAATTAATAATGAAAAAAAATTCAAAATCTTGAAAAGGCAATTTCATGGCTGTTAATGATTGGTATTTAGGATTTATGCTAAGAAATCTAAATATCTCCTTAAAATTCATATTTTTTTATGTCCAAAATGTTTATTAAATTAGCTAAAGTTAAGTTTCAATTTTTATATATAATTAGTTTCAATTTATAAGTATTATGATATTTTAAACAATAAAATTATTCTATACATATTATTATTGCATTTCAATTAATTATGGCCTAAAAAAACCAATGGTTTAGGAAGCCCCTTGAAGTGGTTTGCCTCACCTTGCTATTGGGGCTTGTTAAACAAAATTTTCACTTTTATAAAAAATAAAATTTTAAAAAAATAATTATATTCTTAAGATTTTTTATAAGGCACCTTTATAGAGTATAGTTTTAGGTATCCAATCATGTTTTATTTTTTATATTATCTATAAAACAACAAAAGCTGTAGCCAATTTTGTAAAAATTGGTTCGACTAACCCTAGTCTACCCTATTATAGGAATTTGTTTAATATTTTTAATCATTTTTAAGTATACTTCTTTATATCCTTTGGAAATAGTAACTATTTTTTAATTCAGTTGGTTTTTATCTCACTTTTATTTTTATGAAACAAAAAATTAGGTGTGGAAAACTCATTTAGCAGTATTTAATTTTTTAGATCATAAATTTTTTACAAAAAGGTATCTAAATGGAAATATTTTTTAAAATGCAAGACAATTTTTTTTTAATTTATGAGATTGTTCATCAACATGATGAGCCAAGTCTTAATGCTTTGTTCCCCTTAACATATTTTGAGGGAAAAAAGGATGAAAACTACATAAAATACTCCCAACATAATATAGTTTACAAAGGTACAATTTTTATAAATAATGATTTTGAAGAAAAGAATTCTGGTATAAATAATTTTAGCACCCCATCAACTCGGTATTGGCATCCAGGGAGGTTGCGAAATAGCCACACACGCTACTCGCATCCATCTCCAAACCAACCCTAGTGACGAAATCCTCGTCAAAATTGATTTTTCTAACGCCTTCAACTCCATTCGCCGTTCCCACTTTCTTCCACAAATATACCACTCATTTCCCACCTTCTCCCAATTTTTCCACTCCTGCTATTCCAAGCCATCTCATCTCCAATTCAACAACTACTTACTTTCATCATCTGAAGGGATCCAGCAAGGCGATCCTCTAGGCTCGATACTTTTCTGCATTGGAATCAACGAAATGGTCAAAAACATTTCTACCAACTGCAATCTTCCACTCCACACTTGGTACATCGACGACGGAATGTTCTGCGGCTCCCCTCACGAGGTCGCCAAGGCCCTCGCCATCATTAATACACACTCCGCCGCAATTGGACTTTCACTTAACGAACAAAAAACCGAGATCTGTCCACTTCATTGTTCCATCCCATTCACCCATAACTTCCTTACAACCGAGCTATCATCCCTCACTCATCTCGGCTCACCTGTCGGTGGCTTGCAATCCATTAATCACTTCTTCTCTAACGCATCCTCTAGCTTACTTCATTTCAAAAACATCTCTAAATTTCTCCCTCGCCATCAAGCTTTTTTTCTCCTCAAAAACTTTTACTACATTCCTAAAATTCTTTACGCTCTTCGATCCACCTCAATCTTTAAATTTCCCGACTCACTAAAATCATTTGAAACTTCCGTCAAATCTCTTGCTGAAGAGATCCTTAATCTTCGCTTCAACCATAATTCATGGCTACAAGCATCACTTCCATGCAAGCTCGGGGGCATCGGCTTACGCTCACCTTTAACTCTTTCCATCAGTGGATTCATCGCCTCCCGCCTCTCATCTGACTCACACATTAGCCAGCTTTCTCACTTTCCTGACCCATTATTAGCTGAAGCCCAGACCATTTGGGACAATTCCGTTGTCCCAAACACTCCTCGACCCTCCTCCTGTTTACAGAGAGACTGGGATACTCCACTCAACGAAGGCTCCGTCGCTTACCTAAAATCGAGCCTTCATGACGACGATCTCACAGTCTTTCACCAATTAAACCAAGGATCGGGTTACGAATTTCTGGAAACTATACCCTCCAACAACCTCGACTTATTGCGGTACCGCTGACGAGCTAAGATTTGCCATTGGATTACGGCTCAATTGCGAAATTGTTCTACCATACCAATGCAAACACTGCGAAACCAGCGTCGATCGCAAGGGCAGACATTGCCTCCATTGCCGCTTTTGCCGAGGCCGTTTTCCACGGCACACCAATTGCAATGACATCATATTGCGCGCTCTCAAATCCGCAGGCATTCCATCAAGACTTGAACCGACCGGCATTTTTAGATCCGACGGAAAACGTCCTGATGGAATGTCCTTGACTCCTTGGTCAAGGGGCCAGCTACTAGTCTGGGACTTCACCTGCATAGACCCAAATGCACCATCCAACCACAACGTCGATGCCCTCGCTCTAGCAGAAACTCGTAAAACTATCAAATATAGTTCCATAGACCCCTCTTTCTTATTCATACCTATCGCCTGCTCTACTCTTACCACCTTCGGTAGCAAAGTTCTAAGTTTTTTTAAAGAATTAGGCAAACGGATTCGGGAAAAAACCGATCAGCCTAAAGAGTCCCTTTTCTTACGACAAAGACTTGCTACCGCCATCATTCGCTCTAACTACCTAAGTTTCATCTCTTCCATTGAATAATCTCCTATGTCTATACTCTCTCTCTCCCTTCTCTTTCCTAGTTTCCATTCTTTTATCCCTTACCCTCTTTCGCAAATTATATTTTTATATTTTTTTTACCTTTATTAATTTTACCATATAAAAAAATTTATTATTTGCTATAAACTTTTGATAACATATTATATCAGCAACTATTGAAATATAGAGAGAATTTACCCGTCAAAATGATTTGAATAATACATTTCTAAGATATGCTAATGTGGCTAAATACGAATGTGTATTCTATTTAGACTTTAAAATTTGCCCAAATCAACGAAAATATAAACATCTTCCATTTTATATCCTATTTTATAAAATAAGTAATTACCGAAAACGAAATTAAAGCTTTTTAATGAGGAAGATATCGTGACAGAAGAAAAGAAATTTTTATAATATAGTATATATTTTTGCAGAGATTATATATGTCAAAGTCAACTATATAATATATAAAAATAAGCGAATAAATTAAATTTATAAAATAAATAATCAATATCTTTTCTCTCCAACGCAAATTATCTGAAAACGTCTATAAAGGTCGATTACAAACTGACCAATAAAACATTATTATTTTGGGCAACCTTAGCATCAAATGAATGAGAATAAAAAATATAGAAGAACTAAATATCTGGCTTGCTCTAATTATTTATGCTTGTAGGTTCTTAATAAATTTTTTTGTTTTAGCGAACCCTACAAAGAGATATCAAGTTATAAATAAAATAAAATTTATGATGTAATCCTTCCAAGCTTTTGAAAACACTAAATTTTTTAATATTAATTAATTACGAAATAGGACGGAATGAAGAATGATCATAAGAGACGTTAAAGAGTTTTTATTTTTAAAAATTTCTTATATACACAGTAATTTAAGGCGCATAGTGAAGGTCAACGGTCCGGTCCTATCGGTCTTAGACCGGGATCGGACCGGACTGATTGTCGGGCCGATCTTTTTGTTGAGGACCGTGGTCCGGACCGGTCTTTTATTAATATTTAAGTTTGCTTTACTATTCAATTAATATAATTTTTTTGTATATTTTATTTTATGATATTTTTCTAGAGGAGTTATTTTAGATTTTGTTAATTTTTTTTTTTACAATATGAAAACCATAAGTTTGTCCAATACTTATAGTCTAATAAAAAACAAAGAATATGTGTTCACTGTAATACCAAATTTAACATATCGTCAGCAACAAGTAACAAAATAATTGTTTATAATTTTTTAAGCAATAAATTAATCAAAATAGGCAGTATTATTATTAAAATATTTTGGTTATTATTTATATATCTATTTTTTCTTAAGAAACTGTCTGAATAATTCATTGTCAAAATAATTTAACCTAATTCTTAATAAAATAATTAGGTACCTTAAGCAGACATCTGATAAAACATGAAATATATACACTTCTAATGATGAAAATGAAAATATCTCCAAAAACACAATCTACTCTTAATTTAAATATGCCCTCCACAAGTACAAAATCACTTTCTTCAATACCATTGGATAAATTCTAAACAGATCATATGAACCAACTCATTATAAAATGGGTAAATGACATATTAGTATGGTAGAAAGCCAATAGTGAAAGGTCTTTTATATTTTTTAAATAGTCAATATAGTTTATTATATAGATTTCCAGTCCTCTCATTAGCAGCTAGAAATTTTATAGCAATTCAAGCAACAACTGTCCACTGTGAACAAATATTTTCGAAAGCAGGAAATCTTGTCACTAAAAAAAGGAATAGGCTTTCAAACAAAATAATACAAACTTTGATGTGTATGGGCTCTTGGTTAAAGAATGGAATAGATCTACCGCCTCCATTAAGTCCCTCTTCTAATTCCTTCCAAGGAAGTTCTACAAACAAAGACATTAGCATTTATTTAAATTAAATATTTGTATTAATTATTATATTATTCATAATTAATTTTATATTGTTTATATAATACTCTTATATTTAATAAAATGATAAAACAAATTAAATTAGGTTAAAAAAAAATGTTTTTTAAACAAATAAAAAGACTGGTCCTGGATCGGTCTTTTTAAACATTACAATATTCAATTTTAAACAAGTAAAGGAGAAACCAACCGTTTACTGAAATATTATCATATGAAAATGTTTATTTTTCTCTTAGTATATCGTTTTTTAGATGAGATATAACAAATATTTTTTTTTACTACATGGGGCTCAGCAACACATTAAAATGTCAGGAGCAAACTTCCCGTCGCCACGAAGTCGGGGCGCGTCTTATAATTTAGTTAAAGAATTTTTCCATTTCAAAAATTTTTATAAACAAAATTAATACAAAAATAAGAAAATAAAATTAATATAATATATATATAATGGTCACTTTCGATATTTATTTATGATATGATAAATTAACAAAAATATGAATCATTTTTTTTAAAAATAAATTTTAAATCCATATTAGGTTTTTAACGTAAGATAATTTAAATTTTGACAAAATGTAGATTTTTTTTTTTGCCAAGGAAATAATTTTCTAATAGTTTGCCAATGTACCATCATAATAGTATTTTGATCGTTAGCTATACGCTTAAATTATTAATAAATAATCGAACAATAATTTAAATGTTAGAAGTTAAATGGTAAAAAAATTATTATTTTCTTACCAGTCCTTTTATAGTATTGTTAGTTCCAATGTTGTTAAGTCTATATCTTCTATTCATAATAATCTACCATTATCATCAGTATTTAAAAGTACGATCAAAGAATTGATAAAACCTTTAAAAAAGTATATAAAAGATAAAAATTTAAATTTGTTTGTTATTTTAATTTTTGAAATATTCCGAACATCTGTTTAATATCATTTACCATAACAGTTTTTGACATTCGCAATCCTCTTTTCTAAACAAATCAATTAAATTCAAAGAAATTTAAGAGGATCAAAAGTTGCATAAATTTTATAATAAAATACGGAATTTCATATTTGAAAAACGAATTACACATTTTTGAAATATCAAAAATTTCAAAACTTCAAAATTAAATTATGTGTTTACCAAATGAAATTCCAAATTTTTTAGGAAAATGTTAGGTGACTCTATACCGGTCATCCCGATGTTCAGTCAAACCCAATCTCGCTTATCCCGCATTCGTAGTTAGCTAATTTGATGCTAACTATATAAAAATAGACAAAAATACAGCATATTTTGTATACAATTATGCGTCAACCATGAATGAAGGGGACCAAAAGTTGAGCTTTTGAAAGCCGGGTTTGAGTTAAATATTTAGATGTAAACTTGTCCTATCTCTGGATTATATATAGCTTTAATTAAAAAAATATTTATTAATTTCTCCTTAGGAACACTCGACGATCCCAATCTTGTTCCTTAGAGAATATTGTAAGTTAAATTATTAAATTTTCAAATAAAAACTTTTCATTCATTAACATTTTCCTATTTAAACAATTTGTTATATTGACTAAAATAGTTATATTTTCTTTAAAAAGATATTTATTTTTTTATAATATTTGATATTCAATTACACAGTGAAAATGCCTTAAAATTAAAAACATTTAAGAAATTCCTGATGTTTATGATAAGGAGTTTGAAAATATTACTAAATCCATCATCCAAATGAGAATAGATGTTTAGTGTTCCAATGCAATTTTTGATGTAATCTTCATTCATGGATCCAGCTTCATGTTCTAAAGGATATTATTTTTAAGCTAAATTTTTTTTTGATTTGCAATTAATCTACCCATATTCCACTGAAACAATTTAAGAAAAATAAGATTTGAAATTAGTAAAGATCAATCTGGAACAATTCAGATGAAAAAGGTAAAAATTATTATAACACTAAAATAAAGTAACATAATATACGACATTCTGCATTATACCTTAAGAATTTTTGCCTGATTATTTAATATATTGTATTTGTAATAATAAGTGCATTAGATTATTATTTCTCAATAATTTTATACGAATTCGAGCAAATACATTAAAATATTATTGGTTTTTACTGTTTTTTGCTAAGAAAAATCTTTACTATAAAATGCCAAATACATTCTCTCTAAAGTATTAATATAACCTGATAAACCTATAAAAGAAATATTTTGTTCTTTTTAAAAATTCAGTATTATAATTTTCATATTCCTTCTATTAGGACTTTTTTTAAAGATGGGACAACTCATAAAGACGCTAGATCTTAGAAGAAAGTTTTGCTCAGTGTATTATATTATGAATGACGCTTTCCTTTCAGTGTTCATTTCATAGGCGTAGCCAGGGGGGGGGACAAGGGGAAAATTCCCCGTTTTAGAAATTTATCACCTTTTGTGAATATCATTTTAAGCTAATAAAAAATATCCCCCTTAGTCCCCCACCCACTCCCTGACCCCCAAAAATGTATGCATATAACTTAAACAATAATTTGGAAGAAAGAATGTAAAAGTTAATATTTTTTTATAAAAATATTCATCATAATTTATGAATTTTTGGAAAATAGCATTTATATATAAAAAAGAGTGAACCAAAAATACTTTTTAAAAAATGGAATATAAGATAAGTCTTAAGACAAAAGTGAAATGTATTATAATTATTAATAATAGATCCATAAAATTACTAAATAATATAATATATCAAATATAATTTTTTATATAGTGAGTAATTTTATTTTATTTATCTTAATAAAAGTAAAATATAATTATAAAACTATTAATAAAATTAAATTATAAAATAAATTAAAAAATTAAAGGACAATACAAACAGTGTAATATTTTATGTCCTAGATTTACAGTATATCTAATTTTATCAATTATCATATGACAATCAACTAATTTTTACCAATCTAGCCAATTATATATTTTAAAACTATAAAATGTTGATAAGGACATCAGAAAATATCTTTTAAAGACATTGTGAAATAAATAATATGAAAATTAATTTTAAATATTCTTTTTAAAATAAGATGGCGTTAAATAATTGAATGCAAAATGTTGCATTATTTATTATCAAGAGCATTGATTAGTAAAATTTGTTATAATATTAATTGTAATATATTCTCAAATTGTAAAATATGTCTGTAAAGTGGAATTTTACCTAGTATTTTGTAACTAATTCTATATAATAGAGGAATATCAACTATGTGCCAACTTACATTTTCTAAATAAATTTCTTTTACTTGTTTGGAATAAATTATTACCATGCTTTTATATTAATGTATATACAAGTAATTTATTGTATTTTATATAAACTAATAACATATTTGTTCTAGGCTTATTTTTTTTTATTAAAATTAACCTCCTATCTTGTATGACTATATATAAACTATAGGTAACCCGGCCGAAGGCTCGCCCAAAATGGGGTCTGGGGGCGAAGCCCCCAGTAATTTTTTAATTCCCCCCTTAGGAAAATCCTGGCTACGCCTATGGTTCATTTGCATAAGGGCAATTAATAATTTTAGTTTTTTTTAGCATCCACATTTCAATCGTTTGGTATTTAAAAAAAATTATATTTTTTAATAAATTCAAAATTTGTTATTACCATAATTGAAGAATACATTATGACCAAGGTAGAAGAACAAAAAGAAATAAGATTCATATAAATATTGAAAAAAAAATTATTGTCAGAAAACTTGTTGGAATGCTTTGTTTTAAAAAAGAATTTAATATAATATTATATACAATAAAACGGTCCATATCTAAATTCAATATTTATATACATGATTTCTCTCCGGGGGTATTTTATTTTTCTAAAATATATATTATATGAATTTTTTTAGGACAACTTTAAGAGGTCAAATAAAAATAGTCTCAATCCGCCATAGATTTTTCTTAATAATAAATTTTACTTCCCAATTCGGATTTTTTGAAATTAATATTTCATAATTTTTAGTTTATTAAAACAGAGATAAATCCGTATATGAGTATTATTATAATTTAATTTCAAAGATTCTATCTGGCCTGGGTCTTTTTTCTTTCTCTTACGTCAAAAGGTTTTTGGGAGATTTTCTTTTTACCTCTTCAAGAATCAAAAAAAAAAAAAACAATTGTAATTTTTTTTAAAACTTTTCCTACTATTTTTCAGAAATTATTTCTAATAATTTTAAGAGATTTCGAATGGTCAAAGCATTAAAATTTGAATGCCCAATTTATGATTGATATTCAAAAATATTTTGTTTCATTCTAGAAAAAAAAGATAAGAGAAAAAAAAGTTTTGTAGGTTTTATCGATATCAAAAAAGGATTCATATAGAAAAATGATCTCTATTTTAAAAGTTACTTATTACGTTTCTTTTCCAGCAACGCGCGCCGCTTAAACGTTAACTTATAATAGCCTTATAAAATTTTTAAAGTAATTAATTATTACATTTTTATTTTTATAAAATAAAATTGTAACTTGTTATTTCAAAAATATGTTAACTAAGTAACTGTATTTTTAGAATGTAACGGTAAAACTAGTCTACAACTATAGTTACTTGTCAAAAATATTTTTTGATAAACACCAATAACGGTATACCCATCTAAAATATGTAAAAAAAAAATTGTTTTTTTACATAAGAAATTATAAAATGTATGATATTAGATATACTAATAAAAAAAAGGTTCATAAATCTTATTACAACAATAAAAATAAATATAAAGAGGAGTACACAATTATCAATTAAATAAAGTCTATCTGGTAGAAATAATTCAAAATATTTCTTTAAACTGATTTAAAAAATAAGAGTGAAATCAATAGTAATAACACCTTATTTAAGTAAGTATAAATAATAGTTCTTTACACTTTAGACTATATTCAAATTCTATCAATAGTAATAAAGCCTTATTATAAATAATCTTTACAATTCTATCTGAATTACTTACCTTTGACCATTTCTATTGTGTCTTAATCAAGCTTTTAAGACTAAAAAATTGATTTAAGCTGCTAAGTTGATTCTCAACGATACGTTGTTTTATTGTTAACTAAAGATAGGTAGTTTATAACAACACTAATTCTATCAATAG